ATACGCGGCTGGGCCTATTAACTGTGGGTTTAATAACCGGCGACTACTGTAGTTATTTTCAAGAATTTTTTACTGAAAAAAAGCTAAAAAAGATCCAGTGTTCTTTAAATCCAAGTAGAGGATGTCTACCAAATAAATTACCATTTTATGTGTGCAATCAGCGTTACGGGTTGCTGTAAAATGTTTTAACCAACTGGCAATGTTTCCATGCACACAAAGCAAACATAGACCCTTCTTTCAGTACACATCTTTGATAAACAGGTATAGTACTCCACTGCTTTAAATTCCGCTTAGAAGACAGGATTCATGTTCGGTGAGTTTTTTTAAGTGCCAAAACAATGGCGTAGCTTGGGCAATAGATAGCAACTTACATAGCTTAAGTGGATACAATCGCAGAATTCAGAAATTACTACCAGATATTATAACTATCCAGTTATAATATTCCGATACCACAATGATATAATATACATTAGATATCGCTGTAAAGACGATATGTTGAATCTGGAGCAAAACCATGTTACATTCCGACCCAAATAAGTTCGAAGGAAGAAGGCGTAACGACCTACCTCGCCTCAATGGTAATACACGATTTTCAAGGACGTCGCGTGCATCGGTACCCTGATCCATAAGGTCCAACTTAGTCAACACACCGATCGTGCGTATGCCCTGAGGATCCACCTCCTTGGCAATTTTTAGAGCATCCGAATTGGCCAGGTCAGAATTGGCGGGTGAGACGGCCAAAATTAGGCAGTTGTCGTTGCTAATGAAGTAGAGTAACATTTCACGAATTTGCATCTCGATGTCAGGAGGCTGGTCGCCGACTGGGACCTTGGTCATGCCTGGGAGATCGACGAGTGTAAGATTCAAAACTGAAGAGGAAAAATAACAGTTAACAGTGACCTCTAAGACGCTGGTTTGATATGAATTTCTGAATGACTGAAAGATGATCTTACAGAAGCTTATTCAAAAAAACTCGAAAGTCCTCTAAAAGGTAGGCCAGGTACTCGGACTTAGGAAAGGATTAAAAATATGGCCTCCATATAGGGACTGTTTATATAAATTGTCTTGACATCACAAAAACTTCGACGAAGACTGTTGGATTACCCTTTGGTTTTAGGCTGGTGCTTTGTCTCTACTAAGTCCTGGCTATCATATACAACAAGAATTTACTGTGACAGAAACATCTTTAGTGGTGCACACTTATATTGATTTCTAACGACGAGGAAGAAACTTCCTTAAGTAATCGGAAACATGAGCAGTTAAAAAGAATGAAACGATTGACAAAGGGTAGAGAAAACAACGCAGAAGGAAGTTCTAAATATTCCCCTTCTTTGTTGACATAAGCGACCAAAATAAATGTACGAGCTTATTTACCAAAGGAACCGGAAGTTTTCTGAAACTCGTTAACTCACTGTTGTATGAGAATTAAAGAAGAGATAAATTAAACGAACTACAACGTGAGGTTTTCTGCTATGTAACGAAGGACATCGTAGGTTTAGCGGGAACTTTAAAAGCGTAAACTATGGCTAAAAGGTAAATGTTATACGGTGTGAAACGAGAGAACTAGGTGTAAGAGGCTTGGTAACGGCACGAAACGACAAAAGAGCTAGGTGAAAGAGGGGTGATAATTTAAAAAAAAACTGTTTCAGTAAAGTAAACAAGGAAGCGAAACAGTCACTGAGCTATGTCAACTGTAAAACAGACAGACGCACTGTGATTTTACATCAGTAAACAAAACTTTGTGAGAAAAATAACTTATCTGTATAAAATTACTGTTTTGTCCAGGGAGTAGGACTACAACTAGTGGTGGAAAATAAATGTATAAGGGGTATTCGAACCACCTTATTTTTAAAACTGAAGTTTCGATTATGGTTGATGACCGCACGACCAGGCCTCATGGATATTAAGTATCGAGGAAATCAATGCAGACGTTAACATATAAAATGTACTAAGGCATCTCAAGAAAGACTATCGTTATAGAATTATGGTAAACAGAGTCTTTGTCATAAGACAGATGCGAAATTTTCCTGTATTTACAAGATTGGAATAAAACAGACCTTAGAAACCGGAGCTCGTGCATATTCGAGGGCGTACTTAATTTAGGATGAATAACAGTGTAGTCCTCGGAGGCCTTTGCGTTTATCTTGTCATGCGCTATGTTCACTTTATATTTGAACAATCGGACATGGTCGAGTTTAAGTCCTTTGACAGACAAATAGGAAATGTAAAGTCGTGGACGTAAATTATAGAAGGCCTAAGTGTACTAACAATGGATTCGTACACAGAAAATCAGCCCAACATAGCCTGTACCAAACAGTGGTCAAAGGCTGAACATATGAATACCTCTTTTGTAGCTGGATGACAATCACAAGTTGTACAAAAGATGACATGTAGCTAGTAAAAGGAGCTTTTTAATTCTTAAAACTATTTAACAAAGGCAGGGTTAAATGCTAAGAGAAGGCTTCTTAGGATTTGAAAAGTAGTATTGTAAAAATTCTAAGCAGAATATTATCCGTTTCGACATAATTGTCACGTTTTCCCATTTGCAAGCCTACTTGCAATTACCGTATTCTTGTACACAGAAACAGCCTTCAACAAAAACCAATAATTCCTAGTAATAAAACTTTCCTCACTGCCTTTGATGATATCATAAACTAAGAAAATACCGGAATTGATCCTCAAGCTATTCCAGCTTATAGCAGTCATGTTCTGTAGCCACGGAAATACGTTTAACACCCGACTGAGCTTTCGCTTAACGCCTATTTTTGGGATGATGCGGCAATTTTAAATGTGCACTGCATTCCACTACTTGCCGATAAGCAAGGCAACGCTAATGAGGCCCGGATAGTACATTCACCTTTAAACCAAAACGAACAGCGGTTTACATAACTATTGAGATCGTTGCTGATACTCATTATGTCACAAATAATTTTCGATGAAAGTCTGCTGTGCAGAAGGCAGCGTATCGTGTGTCGCACCAAAAATAGAATAGGTAGGGCATTTGTTGGCCCATAAAAAACATCCACAAAATATGAGTGTATAAGTATGGTTATAGCAGGCGATACAGCGAGCATATTGCTTGAATGAAGGTTGTGAGCAGAAGGAAGGGAATATGAGGGTGAACATACCATTTGGGGAATATATCTTAAGATTTATTGGTTTATTTGATATGCCTTTATTCGGGCCGGTCTCTCTGTCTGTTTCAGCCTCAATTTCCTTGCATACTTCCTCGAAATTCATAAAGGTTTTCCCTTTGAGGTGAACGAACTCGGCATACTCTTCAAAACGTGAAAAGATAATGTCAACAAATACCAGAGGATGATGTAACAAGCTGCAATACAAGCGGTCGCCGGGTAACTATTCCACTTCCACGCGGAAGGAAATCTCTAACAAATAAAGTTATATAAACTATCTTACCTCCCAACAAAATTCTCTAACACGCTGCTCTTGCCTGCACT